CGGGGGGGAGAGTAGGGGCGTGACGACCAGAACGGCAGGCACGGAGTGAGCGAAAAGAGGGGGGGACGGCGGGCCGCCCGGCACGCGGCGGCAGCAGCAGCAGCGGCCTGCCCGAACGCAAATCGCTCGGCGGCAACAGGCTCCTCCGCCAAGCCACGCCACCCCACGTCTCAATTCGCTGAAGGGAAAGCACCAGGGCTTGGGGCCGCGACACACGGAAGCGGGAATTGGGGGGAGGGGCTGGCGCGCACAAAACGCGTCGTAGGGGGCGAACAAGTCGCAGAGGGGGTGGACGGGCACCAACGGGGCACACGGGGGCTCATACAACGGGCCGGGAGCCGGCACCGGCCCGAGGGGGTGTTCGCCGGACTAGCCGAGCCGCGGGCGCCGCAGGGCCCGGGGCACCCCTCCACGCACCATCAGGAGGCCATCTCGAGTGCGGGCAGTTGCAGAATGGGCGGCTGGCGGGCCAAGCGAGCCGGCGATGCTGCGGTCGCCCTCGTCCTGCGTCCCCAAGGCAGGGTGTTGCTCAAGAAGGGCCCCAGAGGAGCGGGAGGGGGGCGCGGGGCCCGGCCGCGCCGGGGGACTCGAGCAAGGAACGATGAACAACGGCGGCCGATCTGTGATCTGTGATCTGTGATGTTACAGAGGCAATGCCCATTAATGGGCTGGGGGCGGCCGTGTGTGTGTGTTTTACAGGGATTGGGCACATTAATGTGCTGGGGCCGAACCCGCTAACCCTGCCGGCTGTCCAGAGCGAGGAAAATCTGGCCGCCGATGGCATCCCGGGGAGGCTCCGTCTTGCAAGCGCCATGCCGGTCTGCCGGGCAGCCGTCCGCCGCCCAGATGCCGCCACGAAGGTGCCGTGAGGCAAAGTCCCAGCTAGTGTCCCGGCTGGGGTTCGAACTCGTGCCTGTGGTATCACCCACCGGCACTCATCCAGCTCCTTATTTAACGTCGCGGCCTGACTGACTGAGATTACAGAGAACCGGGCCCTTTAAAGGGCTGGGGACACACAAGCCGTGCCCACTAGCTCTGGACAATATAAGTATGAAACCAACCAACAGACAGGGCGGCGGAGCGCGGGGCTGCGAGGAGCCGATCGGGCACAGCGGGCGGCAGGGAAAGCGGAGGGTGCCTGGGAGCCAGCCCAGTGACTGTCAGAGAGGTGTGAGGAGGGGAAACGGGGGGCAAAAGACAGGGGAAAGAGGGGGATCAAGGGCCAGGACCGCCAGCAGGCGGCGCAAGCGGCTCAGAGACGCCACCCACCCCGGCACAGAAGCTGGGGGAGCGGCCAGGCGGGCGGGCGGGGACCGCCTCAGAGGGCAGGCGACACAGGGGGTCAAGGCTCAGGTCAGACGCGCGGCCAACGACGAACTGTGAAACTTGAATTTTGTGGCATTTATATTATAAGAAAATGGCTTCTGCCATCGCCGAGCCATGCTCGGTAGCATCGAGTTGATGGGGAAACCCGCGCGCGTTCGAATCGCGTCCTCAACGGTTACTGTTGGGGTGTCCGAGTGGTTAAGGAGTCAGCCTGCTATATACAAACTTTTGCCATGTGAGATCTGGCCCACCAGAGTCGATGTTTTTAGCGTCGGCTGACTGGCAGGCGCTGCAACACATCAGGCAGCAACACCCGCACTGAATGCTCAAGCAAGCATCTTGAGAACATGTGTGTGTGCCAGGGTCTATGTCTGTATGTCTGCCCACACACGTACAACAAACTTTTCTTATTCAAATGAAGGCGTGCACGTTGGGAGGCACAGAGAAGACTGGATGGCAACCAGACTGAACATCAATGGACAATGAGAAAAGAAAAAACCCTGCTGCCGCAAGCAAGGGCCTGGCCCCAGGTGGCGCTTATGAAGAGCGGTTCCCCAGTGGTCAGTCCGCAACAGAAACAATCAGCAACACGGGTACAGTCAAACTCGCGCGCGCTGGCGCGATGCAGCGAGAGGAACATTTGCCTGAAGGAGTTCAGGCTCTTTGCAGGAAGTGGGTGCCCTATCAGGATGGTCAGGTTGCCGAGGCGCCTTCCATGCTTCGCTACGTAAGGGACGCGCACAGCAAGCGTCAAACTGGAGTTGACGACCGGTTCAAGGGCTCCCGACCGGATGAGCTAGGTAGCAACACAGGTGGAAGCACCAGTGGAGTTGGTGCCAGTCCCGGCTGGGCAGTCCTACAAAGTGAGGCAACAGTTGCCAGCTTGGAACATGTGGCCACACATGCCGGCAAAAGAAAGCAGCAAGCGACCAGGAAGCCGCAGCACATGTAAGCGCATTGGCAAGCTCTCAGCTGCCCCACACCTGGCAGCTGGTTGAACCATAGGTGTCAGCAAAGCTGTCCAGTGGGCACAACAGGCAGGAAATTGAGCCGGATGTGTTGCGGTATGTCCCAGGGATGCAGGTGAGGCAAGTGGCTTGGCCATCGTTTGGTTGGAAGGTTCCAGCAGGGCAGGGCTGCATACGCGGAACAGGCAGTGGCGTGAGTCAGGGATATGCCGGAAAGAGGACCCCGAGTGGCCTCATCGTATCCCGCCGCTCACACCAACCTCGCAGCTTGTGACAGGCTGGGAATAGCCGGATGCGGTGCCCATAGGGCAGTTCTGGCAGGCACTGGCGCCTGTGGCGTTGGAAAACTTGCCAATCGGGCACGGCTGCAGCAGGCACAGGGTGCAGCAAGCAGAGCAAGCAGGGCAGGGAGCAGATGGGCCAACAGGGGGAGCCAGCGCAAGTAGGTACCAGCAAACCAAGTGTGCCACAGCAACAACATGCGCACCAGACGAGGGCAAAACCCACCTGGCAAGGCTCCTTCCCTGTCGCGGAGAAGCTCCCAGCAGGGCAGACCTGCAGCACAGCCATCAGCGCACCTTGAAGCCAAGCCACTCACCACACAGCCCCCAAACCACCGACCAAGCCCACCCACACTCACGGGAAGGCAGTCAGATTGTGCAGAGGCACCAGTGCTGTTAGTGCCAGTGCCCGCCGGGCAGCTCTGCACAGCCAGGGAGGGGAGGCAGGCTGGTGAGCAGTGCACGCAGGAGCGCAGCATTGACCTCGTGTTTTGTGGGCATTGTCCAGGAATCCATCCAGCACGTGGCCCAGGGACAGAGCAAGGTCGCAGCCACAGCTGCCCCACACCTGGCAGCTGGTTGAACCATAGGTGTCAGCAAAGCTGTCCAGTGGGCACAACAGGCAGGAAATTGAGCCGGATGTGTTGCGGTATGTCCCAGGGATGCAGGTGAGGCAAGTGGCTTGGCCATCGTTTGGTTGGAAGGTTCCAGCAGGGCAGGGCTGCATACGCGGAACAGGCAGTGGCGTGAGTCAGGGATATGCCGGAAAGAGGACCCCGAGTGGCCTCATCGTATCCCGCCGCTCACACCAACCTCGCAGCTTGTGACAGGCTGGGAATAGCCGGATGCGGTGCCCATAGGGCAGTTCTGGCAGGCACTGGCGCCTGTGGCGTTGGAAAACTTGCCAATCGGGCACGGCTGCAGCAGGCACAGGGTGCAGCAAGCAGAGCAAGCAGGGCAGGGAGCAGATGGGCCAACAGGGGGAGCCAGCGCAAGTAGGTACCAGCAAACCAAGTGTGCCACAGCAACAACATGCGCACCAGGCAGTTGCCGCATAGGTGCAGCTTGCTGCAATGCTAGGGCCAGCTGCTGTTGCTTGCCATGCATGATGCCGAGCCAGGTTCATCGGAAACAGATCCAGGCGGGCATGGCTGGCACTGGATGGAGCTCGTGGCATTGGCAAATGAACCGGCCGGGCAGTTCTGTGGCGGCAGCGGGACGAAGAGAGCAACGATTTGGTGAGGTGCAACAGCGGGCACACATGCCTGCCTGATAGCGGCCCACTGTGCTGACCAGATCGGCTATGGCTACTCTACGGCTGCCACCATTACCTGGCATGGTGCAAGTCCATCTGCAGAAAATTGGCCTATGGCACACGATGCACGTTGGGGAGAGGGTGGAGGTGGTGAGGGAGGTGTGGGGCTGGGTGGCGGAGGAGAGGGTAGAGGCGGGCTGGGGGGAAGTGGCGAGGGTGGGGGCGGGGGTTCGGGCGAAGGTGGTTTGGGGGAGGGCGGCCGAGGCGATGGCGGCTTTGGTCTGCAACGTGTGAAACAGGTCGGGCATGGCAGGCTGGTGACGGACAGAAGTGTAGGGGCGTCCTGGGTGCCGACACACTTCGAGCACAACTGGGTGGCGGCCACACTCAGGAGGTCCGCTCAGCCAGGCCTCACGTGGCTGGCAGCCGACCAGCAGGTGCAGGATGGGAGTTCTGCACAGAGGCAGACTGACAGCTCTGCCAGCATGCGGTGCTCCCCCGCACTGCTTGCCTGGGCGGCGGACGCGGAGATGGAGGGGGCCGGGGGGAAGGTGGCCGCGGGCTTGGTGGCGGCTTTGGGGGCCGCGGGCTTGGGGGTGGACGCGGGGGCCGAGGAGAAGGCGGCTTTGGCCTGGGCGGTGGCTTTGGCGGGCGCGGGGAAGGCGGCTTTGGCCTTGGCGGCGGCTTTGGCCTGCGACCAGGAACCATCTCACAAGCACGAAAATAAACAAGATCACCTCTTTGTGCCTATGTTTGGAAAACAGGAGTGCTGCCTGCCCTGCAGACAGTCGCAGGTGTCTTGCAGCAGCGCCAAGCTCGAGCAGGAGCATGCGCAGCAGCAGGCAGACAACTCCGGGAACATGGTGCTCTTGCATTCCTTGCCTGGGCAGCGGTTTTGGGCGTGGCGGCGGCCGAGGCGAAGGCGGCCGCGGCCGTGGAGGCGGTTTGGGACGCGGCGGTCGTGGTCTTGGTGGCCTGCATGTCATCCAACAAGAATGCACGATTTCTTTGCTGATGCCCTACCGACGTCGCGTGCAACCCAGCAGTATGCACCCGCCGCCTCACGTTGGTGCGGCATCCACAACCGTCGGCATGCCTGCGGCAAGTGCGCAGGCACCCAGGGCAGTGCATCCACGTGTCAGCCATTCAGCATGCGACATTGTGGCGCAGCAAATTGTGTTGTCCGGGAGGACCGGCAAGGGATAGTTGCAGTTGCCATGCCGCCGCTGTGACTCCCATTGCACAGATCCTGCTGCAGGCCACCTCCTGGTCAGCTATCTGCAGTACCGCCACTCACCCAGATGAATCAGCAGCACCAGCACACAACTGAACAGAAGGCGCAGCGAGCGAGCAGTATCGCCGCCGCCGCCGCCGCTGCTGCTGCCAGGGTTGCGGCCACAATGCCCCTGAAAGTAATTGGACGTCCTCATTGGGCACACCTCTGCTTCACAGCCAGGGCAGGAGCGCTCGCAGCTGCAAGGATGAACCGCGCTGTCAGACCAGATGACGGGTTGAGCGCCGCGACGACACGGGTTTATTTATCACAACGATGATCGATAGCCCAACGCCGGCCTGGTTCCAGAACGGGTGGGGGCGCGGGGATGGCGCGCGACAGCCTGCAGAGCACTTATAAGCCGGTAAACAACCCGTCCGAGGGGTGGGCCTTGAAATTCTAAAGAGGCAGTCGACTGCCGCCATCCAGTTGGTTAACCTAGCTGTAGGGTAACTTACTATTACTGTCCCAGGTGGACGTGCATTCAGCGCCCCACTTTGGCTGCCCGCAGCCTGTGGTTTAGAGGCCAGGAAAGTCGAAAGGGGCCTGCGGGGCGTGGCAGGTCCCTCCAACCGCTGGCTGCAGGCTTGCCGCCAAGTCGGCGGCGCCGACAGAGGCGGTGCCACATGTACATGTGTGGAGGCTGCCAGGGCGTGGTGGGTTCAGCAAACTCACTTCCGCCACCCTCGTGAGTGTTTCAGGAATGCAGCTCACCTGCGTGGCCGGGTGGGACAGCGGAGTGGGCGCACGGCGTGACGTGCCCGTGGTGGGGGAGCCGCACACCGAGGCATGGCCCATCCGCTAGCGTCCCCCCCCCACCCCGCCCCCGGCAGCGGTGTCACCAGCCAGGCTGCTAGGTGTACAGCCCGCCCCGCGTCCGCACCTGGTGCCACAGGAAGGCGGTGCCGTGGATGTGCAGCTACAACAGGCGGCGGCCGCCCCAGGCGCAGGCGGGCAGAGCTCCTCATCCCGACAGTATAGCATGCGGCGGCGGACGTTGGTCACTTGGGCCACATCAACCTGCTCGGATGGAGAACACGGAGGGGAGTGGACAAAGGGGGCCGCTGAGTGGTCAGAAGAGCAGCTGGGTGTAGTCTGCCTGTTCAGCACCAACTGCGGTACCTTAGGCCAGCAGAAAGGACTCTTGACTTGGCTTGGGTGGTACTGGAACCATGCCTGCATCATGCAGGCAACATCAGAGGTGACTGAAGATGACGACCTGTCGACCGTGCGCACTGCTCATCAGCGAAGGTTGGCGGCAACACGAACAGGCGGCTGCTTCCACCTGCTTGTGTTTCCGCAGCGGCAGTCGCAGCTGGCTCCTTGCTTCTTGAATCCACCTCGGCTGCGCCGCCACGAGCCTCTGGGCACTGGGGGCACTTAGCCGAGATGGGCACAGTAGACCTGCTGAGAGAGCGCAAACGGGTCGGCGAGGCGGCGGCGGCGGCGGCGGCGGCAGCGGCGGCGGAGAGGCAGTGCGAGCTGGCTTACACATGAGAGATAGCTGGCACCACATTGTGCGATGCCTCCATCACGAACAAGGCTATCAGCAGGCCCAGCGTCAAGTAGTCGCGGGCCCATGCCATCTTGCTCTCAGCTGCTGCTACAACAAGATGTGGACATGCTTCTGGCTTGACGGAGGAGCGACAGATCGGGGCTATTGTTTGCTTGGCTGAAGAGCACGTGCCTGTGCCCATCATCTGGTGTCGTAGCACACTGCGTTCGGGCTCGGCGTTGGCAATGGACAGCCGGTGCTGCCTGCCCCTGAGAGTGCCGTCTGCCGAGAGTGCCGTCCACGCCGAGAGTGCCGTTCACGCCCACACCTGCACTGCTTTTGACCGTCGCCGCCCCGCCCTCCGGCCCACGAGAGAGCTGCAGCAGGGGCAGCGCCTTTCTTGTCGCCACCAACTGCCAAGCGCCTGCTGGTTGCATCTCCGCCAAAAAAAATCCCCGTGCGCTGGTTGGCTGGGAAGCCTAGAGATCTCGCCACTGAAAACCACTGCCCGAGTCCTGCTGCGGCACATGTAACAACAGTTTGTTGAAGACAGCGGCACTGCACCACTGGATGACAGCGACAGCCCTGGTTGCCCAACGGGGACAGGTGGTTCCGCCTGGGCTGGGGCGGGTTGGGTTGAGTCGCTGCTGCGCAGAGCTGCAGACATGCTGTGCAACCAGTGTACTAGCTGCCCCGTGGTCCCTGAGGCTGACGTGCTTCTCAGCTGTGCCGGTAAGAGTCGTTCGCGCCTGCGACCAACCCCATGGGCCTCTGCTGGCGGCACTGGCGGCACTGGCGGCAGCCCCAGTTCAGCCTGCGCCGAAGGCCAGCGCTGGTGTTGCGGTCTGCCCCGGACCTGCTAGTGATACAAAAAAGAACAAGACATGCGAGGGAGGACGCACCAACCGGCCAAAGCAGGAGTGTTTTCCTGGTCTCAGGTTAGAATGCCACACATGCACTTGCAGATTGGTTCTCAATGCCGGGGCGGTGGAAATTCCCCTGTTTCAGCCAGAGCCTTCCAGCCGTGCATGCGCGGTACAATTTCGGCGCCCGCGAGAATCCGCCGTTCCAGCGATGGTTGCTGTCGTGTTCTGCATCATGTTATAGTTCCACCGCATCTTCTGCCGCCCAGCTCCATCTGTCCTCAATAATTCTGCCTCTCCACACCTGCCACGGCTGTCATGCCCAGCAGAAGAGCGGCAGGCAGGCAGTAGCCGGCCCGAGCTGTTGAGCCGCCGCCAACCAGGTCCAGCGGCCGCAGCGGGCCATGACGCATGAACCGCCGCTCAACGGCGGCAGCGGCGGCAGCAGGCCGCACCTGTCCTGGCCGCGCAGTCACCACAACAGGCGGCTTTCGCCACAGGCTGTCGCATTGCTGGGACTCGTGCTGGCAGGCAGCGTGTGGGCGCTGCATCGCAACCGGTCGGATGTAGGGGCGGGGGCAGCGGCGGCAGACGCCGATGTAGCGGAGCGGCAATACAAGCGCTCAAGGCGCTGTCACGCAGGGGGTGGCGGTGGCTGCGCCGCCCGCTGGGGGCTAGATGTTGGGACTGCAGCACTTGCTTCGTTGCCAGACACGCCCCAGACCCGGCTGTGCCTGCACATGACATCGGGCTGGGGGTCATTTGCTGCCTGCCTGAGCAGGTTTGTTGCGTATTGTTGTACCTGCGTCTGTGCCATTGCATCTGTGGCAGGAACAACTGAAGTTTCACGCCGAAGATATTCCCGGGGTGGCAGATCATGTAGCGACAGAAACCCTTTGATGGCCGCGTGGCAGATGGCGGGCGCGCTGTGGGGCGTGAGCGCCATTCCAGAGCGCTGGCGGGCGGGGCTGGCATGCCAGGACACAGTTCACAGAGTGTGCGGTGATCTGGGTCGGGCGAGCTGTGAGCGTGCACGCTCACACGTGCACGTGCATGAGCGCATAGCTGTGGAGGGTGCGCCATGCCCACGCTTTTGTGGCATACAGCCCCCCCAAACTCTTGTTGGGATTTGTGTTGCGTGATTGTGAACAACCTGGCCTGCCCTTGCCTCGCCCCAGCAGTTCAAGCTCTTGCCGCCCTCATTAGGCGGAGTTTATATGCCAGACCAGTTTGACTGTCTGGATGCAATCACCCCAAATTTCCTTCAGATGCGGTCTTATTGCAAAAGAACATGCAAAGAAGCAAAGTCTTAAATCGCAGTTTACACGAGTCTCTCAGATGTGGAAAGCTCTGTTAGCTCTTGACTGTTTTTTGCGATCCCTGCATGCATTTGAGCTGTGTGTGTAGGACCATTAGGACATGGGTATCCAACCGTACTCCCTTGTCCATCATGTAAATACAGGAGAAACCTGAATCAGACTGACACAGCGCCATAATTAGCAGCATTCAAATGGGCGTCGCAGCGGTCTCGGGGGACCTGCAAGTAGTATCAGGAGAACAGAACAACAGCTCACTTTCTTCCAGGAATATATCTTTCTACTAACCGCTCACTTTCTTCCAGGAATATCTTTCTACCCCAAGTCCCAAGTCTTATGTGCCCCCCCTGTGGTGGCTCGCCCTCTATCATGCAAGCATATCCCCGTGTGTGCAAGTTCCTCCAGCCCCTTGTCCATTCTCGGCCGGACTTGAGGACCCTCTTGGAAGCGGCCGTCGAGTTTTTTGCAGAGTTTGAGTTGCCCGATTCCACCGCAGCCTTTGCCCGGTTTGTGTTGGAACACGACGCTCTGCAGATTGGCAAGATTGCGCCCGAGTTCTTGGAGCCCTGCTTCGTGCAACTCTGCAAACACCACAACCTGCGCGTCTTCGCACACCTCCGACCTGACGGAGTTTTCGTACGGTATACCGTGAATTCGATCCTGCCTTCATCAAGGCCAATACACAAGCCACGCGCCGCTGGCGGGACTGGATAAGTTATCTGACTGCCAGCGCAGCTTTGTGTTTGAACGGCAATGGATCATGATCAGCGGGGTACGATGCGCAGCCGCCACATGTGCCATTGCATCGCGCTCATACCTCATACCGGCCGCATCTTGCAGCAGGAAGCGGGCACAACAATAGGCACATATCGGCAATGAGAAGCGGGCAATGCAGCAGGCAGCAGGCCGGCGTGATTACGCCCGCTGATGGTTCAGATGAGGCAGCAGTTCCGACACAGCAGCCGTCCACCGCTTCAGTATGGCGACTGTTGACGCCTCAACCAGCAGTGCGGGAGCAGGCATCATTCACATTTGCATTCATCAATTCTTGTGTGTTGCCTGAGAGCACATTTCACTTTCAACAACGAACATGCACGGACACGACCAGAAGACATGTAAAGTTGATGTTAAACAGGTGTACATCAAAACAGGAAATGAGATTGGCATGCGGAACAACAAGGTGTGTGAAGAGGGGTTAACACAGTAGATGGGTGCAGCCAGGTTAAAATCCGGACAGGTTTGATTGGAAAGGTATCAAGTATACACATAAACGGCGTTCTTGACGCGGGCGCTGAGAACGGTAGAAGGAGCAGGCAAACAGTTCCAGAGCACAGAAGTATGGGCGACTGCGGTTTCGCTTCGGTCATGGAGCAGTGAGACGAGCCAAGGCAATCCTGCAAGAGGGCAATGCTCCTCCATGAGCGTGCTATCCTCTCCCCGCAGCACTGGCCTTGCCTGCCTTCCGCAACAGGTCTGCCTCTGCGGTATCCAGCGCCCAGCCCAGGTGCGACAGGTCCAGCACCAGGCTCAGCTGCAGGAGAAAAGCCAGCAACCGAGGGAGGCACGGAACGGAGCCAGATCAGAACTGTGGCAACTCTCTTGAGTCAATTCCAACTGGAAACCTGCTGGGTGTGCACCGGCCCCTGCTCGTCTGCCTCGCCCACCGCACCCACCTCTTGGCGCTTCCAGTGGAAGCTGCACGTCTTGCTGAGCTGCTCCGGGCACTCGCCCCTGTCCAGCAGCGCCACCTTGTCCGCGCTGCAGGACGGCAAGTGTGTGTGGGGGGGAGGGGGGGACAGCAGGGCCGGCCAGAGGCGCTCATATCCTGCGAATGCTGCCAGCTACGCTGGTCCCACCCCTTGCCAGAATCTGCAGCTGCGGCTGTGGCGGGGTGAATAAGCGCGCGCACACACACACACACACACACACACACACACAGCCTCACTCGCTCAGGCGCTGGTAGTCCTCCTGCTTGGAGATGACCTCCCACCGCATGTGCTGGCGGCTGGGGTCGGAGTTGTTCAGCGGCACAAAGCTGAGCCCCGTGAAGCCCCAGTAGCGCACCTGCAGGCGTGTGCGGGCAGGCAGGCGTGCGCAGGCATGCGTGGGTGCCTAGCGAGGGGGAGGGAGACCACCAGGCATTCTGTTTGCACACATCTTGCTCGGTCGCCACCTGGACAAACACAGAACTCCTCCAGCTCGCCGCCAGCGCCGCCCCGCCTGCTCACATATGCCTCCGCCCACACGCGCTGCAGCGAGTCGGTGCTTTCCGCGTCTGGCGAGATGTGGATGGCCACCGCCTTGGGGGGCAGGAAGGGCCACAGCGCGATGGCCGAGCCGTGCACCATGACCAGGATGCTGACGCTGCCCATGATGCGCAGCTGGTCGGGGAAGGGGACGTCCTGCACACAGGGGGGTGCACGAGCAAGTGCGCATTGCAGGGGTACAAAAGAGGGTGCGAGATAGTGACAAATCTTTGTGGTGAGAGGTTGCGACGAATGGTTGGGGCACAAAAAAGGGGGGTGCGAGCGAACTGATGAGGGTGCGAAACAAGGCTATGCACAGGCCAGGGCAGCTGCATCCTGGGGTGGACTGTTTGGTGTGGTCATTCCTTTGCTGTGCGTTCCACCCCCTCACCTCAAAGTACTGCAGCCGCACATCGTCCCCGGGGAAGCGCTGCCGCACAAACTTCTCCACGCTGCGCACGTTGAGCATGTGGCGGCCTGAAGGGCAGTGTAAAGCAGGAGTGGTAAGCATGAGAAAGGAGCCGGAGGGGCATGCACGGCTGGCTGACCGAATGCAGGCCAACTCAAAACATGGCCCGCCGCTCAAAAGCGCACGCCTGGCAGGACAGTGCCTTGCCCTGCCCCCACACCCCACCCATCAACTCATCCACCCAGCCCACCCACCTGCCTCATACGGCCTGTCCAGAATCAGGACAATCTTGTTTTGCACGGGGGCAGGCGTGTGCACGTCCAGGCCGTAACACGCGCCCAGCCGCTCCCGCCACACCTGCAGCGCGTCTGCCGCCATGCCCGCACGCTTGTCCTGCCGCTCCGCGCCATACTCAGTTTCGCTGTGGATGAGCAAGTCAGGAGGGATGGGGGGGGGCACATGTTGGTGTGGGGGCAGTTTGGCAGAATGCATGCACACATTGCTGAATATTGACGGGCGCCCTCAAAGCCAGGCATGGACACACAGGGCCCAGCTTCTAGGTGGTGCAGCAGCGCACACCTGGAGCAGCCGCGCTGCGCGTGACAGTCTGGCCCTATCCCCGACCAGGCCTTGTCTAAAAGCACCGTCTGCAGCGCGGCACGGCAGGCAGGTGGCACGGCGCCTCAAGGGAAGACATGGCAGAAAGAAAGCTTGTTGACAAACAACAAGCATGTGCTGCTTAAGCTGCTGTTGGTGCTGCACACAGACAGACCTTGCGCTCCAGGCGCGAGTCGTCACGGTAGACGGGCGGCCAGCCGGTGACGCAGCGCGCCAGCGTGGCGTTGACTGGCGCCAGCAGGGCGCCGCGCTGCCGCGAGTGCAGCAGGAACAGCTGCACCTCGCGCCGCGGCGGGTAGCTGCACTCCCCCAGGTGCCGGCACAGCGTGTTGTGCAGGGTCACGGCCTGGTTCAAAGCGCAGCAGGGGCGGAGAGACAACAGGGGTAAGGTGGGGCTGGGACACAGGCGGGGGACAGCAGGCAGCCAGCAGGCGAGAGGCACCACGAGGATGCAACAGGCATGCTGCGCCCGGGTGCCAGCGACCCAACAACCCAGACTGCTGCGGGCGCCCACTCACGTCCTCTCCAAAGTGGTGAGCCAGGTTGTCCCACCGCTTGGTCACCTTCCACAGCCAGGACAGCGGCACACTGAACCACTGTGGAGCGCAGCACAAAGAGCAGGGAGGCACGTGGGTGGGCGCGGGCACGCCAGCAGGCATTGTCAGGCAGAGGCAGGCAAAGCGCACATTCCCCACACACCTCGTTCTCGCCCTCTAGAAGGAAGCCCGCCGCGCTGCGGTGTAGCACCGTGGGGGCGTACTTTTCGTCTGCAGCTGGATGGTAGGTCACATCCACGGTGGGCAGCTGCAGCTCCTGGTCTGCAGCAGCACATGGCCCGCGCAGATGCCTCAGCAGCAGTTACAAGCAACTCCGCCTGGGCACTGCCTGGAGCACGCCAGAATTGATCCAGGGTTTCGGGCAACCAGTGGCTTAGGGCGAGTATCAAGTGGTGGTCAACACCAAGCAACCAGTGCGAGCGTTCTGCAACAGTCTCCAAATCGGGCATTCGCTGGCCAGCTGCAGCTCGCACATTGGCAGACGGGCGCTGCCCAACACAACAGGTCCCCTCCCCACACACCGTCAGTCAGGTAGTAGGCGTTGCCTCGGTGCAGGATGAGGCTGGAGAACTCGCACACGCGGTGGTTGGGGTCCTCGCCAGACGTGCACTGCACACACGATCAGAGGCAGATCTGGTGAACAGGCACAGGAGCAAGTACAGTGGACCTTATGCAACAGACCTGCTCAGGCAGGCAGGCAGCTAATGGCCCCCAGCCCGATGCCGTGTGCAGGCACAGCCGGGTGTGAGGCGTGTCTGGCCACGCAGCAAGGGCTGCTATCCTGACATCTAGTCCCCGGCAGGCGGCGCAGCCCCCGCCACCACCAGAACCTGCCTTGTGGGAGCTGCGTGGCAGCGCCTTGAGCGTGCACGGCGGCTCATCCAATCGCTGCAGGTTGTATTGCCGCTCCGCTCCAGACGCGTCTGCTGCCGCTGCCCCCGCCCCTACGTCCGACCGGTTGTGATGCAGCGCCCACACGCTGCCTGCCAGCACGAGTCCCAGCAACGCGACAGCCTGTGGCGAGAGCCGCCTGTGGTGGTGACTGCGCGGCGACGACAGGTGCGGCCTGCTGCCGCCGCTGCCGCCGTTGAGCGGCGGTTCGTGCGGCATGGCCGCGCCGCTGCCGCTGCTGCTGGTTGGCGGCGGCTCGATAGCTCGGGCCGGCTACTGCATGCCTGCCACTCTTCTGCTGGGCAAGACAGCCGTTGCAGGTGTGGAGAGGCAGAATTATTGAGGACAGATGAGCTGGGCGGCAGAAGATGCGGTGGAACTATAACAGAATGCAGAACAAGACAGCAACCATCGCTGGGACGGTGGTTTCTCGCGGGCGCCGAAATTGTACCGCGCATGCACGGCTGGAAGCGCTCTGGCTGAAGCAGGGGAATTTCCACCGCCCCGGCATTGAGACCCAATCTGCAAGTGCATGTGCGGCATTCTAATCTAAGACCAGGAAAACACTCCTGCTTTGGCCGCTTGGTGCGTCCTCCCTCGCATGCCTTCTTCTTATTTGTATCACTAGCAGGTCCGGGGCAGACCGCAACACCAGCGCTGGCCTTCGGCGCAGGCTGAACTGGGGCTGCCGCCAGTGCCGCCAGTGCCGCCAGCAGCCACCCGTGGCGTTGGTCGCAGGAGCGAACAACTCTTTTCGGCACAGCTGAGAAGCACGCCAGGGCGGTGTGGGTGCTGAGCCAGACCCTGCTGACGTCCGAAGACAACGCACCAATAAAGCAATGACCTGTACGGCACCAACGTGATAGGATAGTAGAGCAGACCCTGAACAAGCATAACAAAGCCAACTGAGGCAAGGGGAGTTGGTGCTGGATTTGTAAATGGACTTTTGATTTTATGCATTGTTCTATGTAAGGCTGCGTCAGTGATCAATGTGGAAGTCATGGTAACACGCGTGGGGAAGCATACTCATGACCCAGATGCCAGGTTTGGTGTGGAAGTAGCCTCGGGGGTACTCAAATATCTTACTGTTGTGTGGGCGGCATGTGGGCACGATGTAGCACACCTTCTTGTTGAACTTGCCCAGCGCCTCGTCCCACCTCCACACGTGCGCGCCATCGGTTGATGTCTTCATGCACCCTTTGGCACAGCATAATGGTGATGCCGATGACTTGGTCGTGAGAGTCCATATGCTCAGCCATGATGCGCGTGGGTGGAAGGCTGGGGGCCTGTCTTCCGATGAGCCCTTGACTCCAGAGACCTCAAAGCTAGAGTGTTGGCGCTCTATCTTTACATCCAGGTCGGCAGGCTTGCTCCGCCCAGTCCGGTGTGGGATGCTGTTGATGTCGCACTCCGGGGACTTGCGGGGGCTGGTCCGGGCGAGGGGCAGAGGATGCGTCTTGGATACCGCGTGGCGCCAGCACTTGCTGCCGAGCCTGGCGGGGCAGGTGCATTGCGGACCCCTGGCCTTCTTTGTGTAGGCCTGGCACGTAGGCTGAGGCTCCTGTGCACGCAGAATCCCGGACAGCGCGTGGATCAAGCACAAGCCTCCAATCTTTGCCTTGTTCCTGCACCGAGTGCCCCTCTTCGTGTAGCCCTGGCATGCAACCGCGGATAACTCAGAGAGTACTCCGGAGGGCTGCGGGGCCTGCCGGGTCTGTGCGGTGCAATCGGTCGATCTCATGATCCAAAGATTGGCCCTGTCACCCGCCTGCCGCAATGTAGGTATGCTGCCGCCAAGGGAGGATTGGAGCAGGGTGGGGGTGCTGTTTTCTCTGCAAAACCATGGGGACCAGGCAGCCAAGGTGATTGTGTGGCAGGCGGTGTTTCGTTTTTGTGCCTGCAGGTGCCTGCAGCTGCGAGGTCTCCCGCCCTCGAGCTCGCCACGCCGCCGGCGGTAGCGCAACCAGCATCTTCCCCTCCCTAAGCCCTGTCCCCCTGCCCCCCCACCACACAGGATCCTAGTATTGATATTCAGTGAGTCCTTCGTCAATTTTGAAACCTCTTGAGCGATGTCTCGGGCGAGACACACACATCCCGTTCCTCCCTCCAACTTCTCGCACCTGCGTAGGGTACCTCTTTGAATCCTCCAACAACATCGTTGAAACCGCTGCTAAAGTGAATTGAGGGCGTACCGACACCGTGTACCGGGAGAACGGCAGAATCCTGGCTCGTCCGCCCAAAGTTCCTTTCTCCTTCCTTTCGGAACCTTTTCGGCACACCCTCGAAGTTTGTCGACTGCTGCAGCCAACGACGGAGCCGAACTGCGCATGCCCTACTAGGGTACCCAATTGTGCCTGCTGTGCGGCAACCCAGCCCCCGCCCTGCGGCGTCACTTCCCTGATCAAGGTGCGTGAACCGATGGGGCGGTGTCGAGGGACGGGGGTGGAGAAGGGCAGCCCCCCCCCCCCC